GCTGGGGTACAGACAGACTCCCAATCCCGCTTCCACCAATTTATGACTGTGAGCGGCTCACTTCTTCAATCTGAACTTCCTTATCTGTAAAACAGGGATATGTTTTCTTTTTATTTGTGTAATTCTCTCAGGGTGCTCATAAGGCTTAAATCAGGTAACAATACATCAGGAGCCCACAAGACAAAGCCCCGACTTCTCAGCCGGTCTCTGGGTCCTCTGAACCCTCCCCCCTGGCTCTCTCCCCTAGCCCATGCAGACCCTCTCCATAAAGGCTTCCCTTTGGGCCGCACCTCACCCTACTCTCTAGTTAGAATGTAATACCTTTTGGGCCCCCTTGAAAAATGTTTTATCATAGTATCAATGATAATTGCTCATTTCCCCCACCAACACCTTTTTTTTTGTTGTTAAAAAAAGACTTTTTTTTTTCAGCGCAGTTTTAGGTTCACAGTGGAACTGAAAGATACAGAGATTTCCCATAGACCCACAGCCCCCATACATGCAGTTTCCCCCTCTTTCCCTGTCTGTATACTTTCCAAATTTTCGAATCCCCAGCATTTAGCACAGTGCTAGGTAATTAAGATACTGAATAAGTGTTTAATAAATAAAGCATGGAGCCTAGCACTTCAGAGTCTCAATACTGATTTTTCCCCCCATCTCGTCCATACTGCTTATAGGGTACATGCTTATTTAATATCAAAAGAATGGAGTGTTATCCTCCAAAGGGGCCACTGTGAGGGCAGCAGAAAGCTGAAGTGGGGTGGGGTCAGAGGGAATAGCTCAGTGGTAGAGTGCATGCTTAGCACCCACGAGGTCCTGGGTTCAGTCCCCAGTACCTCCATTAAAAAAAAAAGTTAAGGCAAGTTTAACTCATTGGGCTTGAGGTAATTATGGATTATCTCCCTTTAGAGAACAGCTTATGTCCTCCAGCGCTCAATTCCTTAAACTGAGTTGGTTGCCATTATTTCACAGGTATCATTCTTATGTGTACAAAGGAGACAATCAGTGTAAGTTCACGGATGGTATGGAATCTATCCCAAGAGGCTGACACGGTGCTGGGGACTCAGCAGATGGCAACAGCTGATAGAGCGCTCCGTCTGCGCCGGGCAGCACTCTGAGCAGTTCACACGTAGTCACTCAGTCCTTAGAACCACTACCTGAGAAGTCGGTCCTATCAGGATCCTTGTTTGTAGAAGAGGCACTTGAGGTACCGAGATATGCAGCTGGACCAAGTCGGCAGAGCTCTGAACTGAAGAACCTAGGATGCACGATCAGGCGGTCTAGTCTGTGCACTTCACCTTTTAAAATCTCCCGCTTCTCTGTGAAAAGTGGCGCCCATGGCTGCCTCTCATACCTGGCACATCATAGCGTGATGAACGGCTATTCTCGTCCGCCCTCCGTTCCCCGCAGGTAAGCCAGGGGTGCTGGCAGGGGTGCTGACAGTGAAAGCACTGTCTTTCTAAACCAGAAGAGCAAACTGAAGGCAGGTGGGCTGAATTTAACCTTCCAGATATTTTATTTGTCCTGCACCCTATAAAAATTTTGAGTTAGTTGCCAACATGAACTGTGGGGACAGAAAACAGATCAGTGGATGCCAGGGGCTGGGGAAGGAGGGAGGAGTTAAGTTCGAAGGGGCAGGGGTGACGGCTGCATAACTGTATGCAGTTGTTACAATTCATAGAACTGGACATTAAAAAGAGTGAATTTTACTGTAGGCAAACATATACATCAGTAAAACTCGGTCTGAGAGATGAATTCCCAGGCCATCTGGGTTTCTGACCTTGGGCACTGCCAGCACTGGGCCTGCCCTCTTCCTTGTGGTACTAGCAGCTGGTCAGCAGGGGTTCTGACTCCTCTCAGTTCTCGGTGTTTCCAGAGCAGCCGCATTGGAGGCCATTCTCCACCCCAGGTATAGCCAAGTGGTGGCAGCAACTGCTGAGTGTCTGGAGTTAGGGAAAAAAAATTATTTTTAAAAGGAGACCAGGGAAAAGTAGGAGGCCGAAGAGGGGAAAGAGAGGCAAAGCTGGGACGTAAGACAGGAGACAAGGAACAGACCTGATTTTATCCTCTGCTTCCAAGTAGCCCTGGCAGGCCTGGAGGAGTTGTTACAATTCATAGTACTGGACAGGCAGGGGAGGGCTAACAAGGTGGGTTGACCCAGAGCTTTGGGGCATGCCAGCGGCAGATCTCTAGGGTCAGTGTCCTAATTCTTTCAGGTTAGATCTTAGGTCACTTAACTAGACACAAACCCTGCTTAGTTTGTAAAAGCAAGCACCCATGATGCAGTCTCTTGCTCTCGTTACCTGGGGGGCCCCTGCGGGGGTAATGTGGAAGATGAGGGTGGGAGGAAAACACACCAAAGAATGTCTTGCTTCCAGCAACCCTGGGATACTGATTCTTACACCGGTTATTTCCAGATTCTTCAACCTGGAGGGCTGTGGGCTCCCATGAAGGCTGCCTGACAGAGAGCATGTCCGGATTCAGTGTAAGGATCACTGCTGACCGCTCCTGCTTGCTCGGTGGGTCCTGCTGTCTTCATCTTTGGGTGCCCTACTGGACTCTAAAGCATCTTATGTACCAGCTTGAATTCACAGCACGCCCCCATCCATCCATCAACCCAGCCTTCAACTCCGAAAATACACACTGAGACCTAATATATGCCCGGCATCACTCTAGATGTGGGAGTACAGGACTGAATGTGACAATAGCCCGGTCCTTAAGGGCTGACATTCTAGTGGGGGAGTGGACCAGTCAGTAAAGGGGTGAAATTTATGTTGGATTGTCATACTTGCTATGGAAAGGATGCAGGTGGGGGTGGGGTGCTGTTTAAAACAATTCGTCAGGGAAAGTGAAACTTGAACAGAGATCTAAAGGCTGCGAGGGAAGGATTCATGCCAGTACCCGGAGCAAGTTATTTCCTAAGCAGAGTGAAAAGGAAATTCCAGCTTCATCCAGGGCATGGCTGACTTTCAGGGGGTGCACCTGCTCTGCCTGTTGGCCTGTGCCATCTGCCACCTGTATCTCACTCAGCCTGACCTGCCACCTGTACTCTTGCGAGCAAAACTGAGGCTACTTTCCAGCCGTCACGTCTGTGTAACACCTCTGGGGTTCACGCTGACGTGGCATCCCCGAGAAGCCCTCCACAAGGAGCAGTATGAGGGTATCTGGCTCTGCTAAGTGTCCAGGGCCTGCCAGGAGTTTATCAGAGCCAAGAAAGAGAGCAGAGACTGCGGTTTAAATTTAGCTAAGAGCGTGCAATGTAAGGTCAAGGGCCAAGGAAAGGGAAAAAGAACAGCTGTTAAAGAGTGAGAGATACACTGCTGTGCCCAGTTACGTTGGGAGGAAGATGGTCAGGACAGGGGCTGCAGTAGATCTCCCTTACTTGTTTTCCTTGAAAGCAGTCTCATAGACTCCCCTATTGGAAAAAAACTATTAAAGATAAAACAAAGGTACAAACTGAGGTTGACTCTGAAGTTTGATAATAGCAGAAGGGTACTAGCAGTGGTCCAGGAGAAAAAGCACCAGATTTCAGCACCTGCAGAGCCTGGACGGGGCAGAGCTGAGGGCAGCTGTTGCACTGAGCAGTGTAAGACTAAGAGGAGGGAAGCAGGTGGTCTAGTTTCATCCTTCAGGTCTAATTCTTTGCTGCTGCCTGTGTGACAAAGGCCTAAAAGCAATATATTACTATGCATAATGACTGAAAGCTGGCTATAGCTTGGAAATTCCTGACCTACTGTGGAAATGAAGTTTTTCTTTTTTGAATGTAAGAATAAATCATCTCTCTTGTGATTACATTTAGAATTGTTTGAAGGAGGTTGAAAAGACAACTACAGTTAATCTAAATCTCTTGAAGGGGTCAGAAGTTCTGAAACAGTGGTGCTCAGAAAAACAAATGCTGTAATTCTGCCGACTCTCAAAGAAAATCTTCTTGTAAAGTTAGCACCTTCCAAAAGTTGGTGATGGGGTTTTCCCTTTGTGTGGGTAGTTAACAAATTCCAGCTCTTAAACAGTTTAAGATTAGAGGTGAAACACACTAGATAAATCATCAAGTAACAACTGTTCATCACAAATCCTTTACTTTGAAACCAACCCAATAATGAATAGCTCAGAAGTCAAATAGTTTATCAGCATTTGAGGCAGTTTTAAAATCACCTGAGCTCATGAAGTGTAAAGGATATTTAATACTACAAAATAACTCAACCACATAGGAATTGGATATAAACACCAAAGGACATCTTTGCTCAAGACTATAAAAAGTTAAGTGTCTGGAATAATTTTAGTTAAAACTGAGAGTCAGGCGAGAGCAGTCAAGTTGGTGGAGTGAAGGACCTGGAGCTCACCTTACGTCAAAATCATAGCTAACTGAACAGTTATCGATGAAAAAGACTGAAACCTACCAAAAAAGATCTTTGACTGAACACATGAAGAAGGAATCACGATGAGCTGGGCAGGAGGGGCGCACTCACAATATAATCAAAACTGACCATCAGAGAGGATAACTGACTTCCTTTAACCCAAGGTGCTGGAGAAAACCAAGTCCCAGCTTTACCCTGTATTTAACCTTTAACCAAGTTCAGTACACAGTTCATTCCATGATACTGCTCATTTGGAAAGTACAGCCTCTTACAATTACCATGCAGTTAACATCATACCAGAAAGGTAGCATCGTCGGGGGTGTCAGCCAAGACACATTGGCCAAGAATAACCCAGATGTTTCAGTCACTGAAACACCAACTTATTTGTGCTTCTTTTTGGTAACAGTGTAAGAGGCTCAAGATCGATCCAAACGACTAGAAAACCTAACGAAATTAATAGCATGTTTAGAGAAAAAGTCACCTGAATCTCATGAGAACATGGTTTGGAACAGCCGTTGGAGAAGGAGAAACAGCAGGAGCCACAGTGATGCCGTCTCTGGAGCACCAGGCTTCTGCTGTCATCAGTAACGGCAAAACGTCACTGAGAGCGCCCTCCTCAAGCCTGAAAATTTGTTTTTCTTATCAGAAAAAACATGCCGAGAGGAGAGGGGAGGACCTTAGTATGAGTGTGAGTAACTCTTAGGTTGGAATTGTGACAGAAGGGGAATCCCAGTGTGTGTGAATGGATCTACAGCTTATACCTTTGAGAGCAGAGATTTAATTATGTCTCTTCATTGCAGGCAACTCACGCTTGGGAAAGAACACCATCATTTTGAGATTTGTATTTTATTTACAAGTAAATGAAGAAAGTCTCCTATAACCTCTAATTTGGGGTAAGAAGAGCAATATAAAGAAGTAGCTGCTGGCTCCACAGCGTTGTGTGAAAGCAGTCCCTGTCACTGTTTCTTTAAATGATGATTTTCTTATTTAAAAAAAAAAGAACCCACGTAATTTCTTCATGTTGTATACGTGGAAGACTTCAAAATAAAAATGACTTTCCCAATCTCTACAGTAGTCTTTGTAGGCCGTACCATGTGTGAAGCGGCCAGGATGTCACCTTCACTCAGTGACAGCCCCTGCTCCCCAAAAGCAATGGCCTCTGAGCCAAAGGCTTAATACTCATCAAGAGTGTCTGCTCGAGGGATGGAGAGGCCTCGGTCCTTCAGAGCCTGAACTTTCAGCTTCTCAGCCTCCAGCCTGGTCTGCTGCTCCACCCTTTGTTCTTCTAGGATTTCTTCAATGGACACTTGCTGGAGGGGTGTGTCACTCTCCTTTTCTAAGTCCTACAAAACAAGCAGGTTTGGAAAACTTCACCTGATGACCAGAACATCACATCTAAAGCAAAGGGGTTGAGGGTGGTTTTTTTGGACTGGTGGCAGGGCTCAGATAGCCTGACAGACAAATAGTACAAAGAGATGGCTGGCAGTGGTCCTACAGAACACATAAGCGTGTGGGAACAGGGAGCAGTACCAGTGTGTATGACTAAGCTTCAGGTTATCCAAAGTCAAGTCCTACACTAGTCTCTTAAAAAAAAGAGAGAAAAAGAAAACAAGAAAAGAACATCAGGGCTGCTTACTAACAGCTATCTCCCCGACCCCAGCCAATCCAAGAGAGAAGTTACCGATGTCAGGATGGCTTCAGGGTAAATTTTGTATTTTTACAGCTTAATTTCTGGAGGGGGCGGTTTGCTCAGAAAGAAGGTAGGAACATTGATTCAAAGTAGCACTGTCGCTACCCCACCCCCTGCATTTAAAGGCAATAAACTGTCCCTCTGTCACATTAACTAGGAATTGTTAAATCATAACACAGGACTTCCTTCCCCTCTATGACAAGTCTTCTGGAGAAAACCTCAGCAGACCATTTGGCCAATATATTTCTCCACTATTTTAATTTAAAATATTTTTGCTTAATAGAAATTTTTTCCCCTTATTTCAAAAAAACACGTTCCTTGTATGAAATTTAGAAAACAGACAAGAAGAAAAAAATTAAAAAAAACTATCCATGATCCAGTGTGGAGGAATAATACTTTGGTGAACATCCTTCCAGTTTTTCTATGTGTATACTGACTTAAGAAAAAGCTCAATGCAAAATTGGCTGTTTTTTCCACTTAATACAGCGTATTATGCTTAATATTTTTACTTTTGAGCACCTACAAACATTTAATAACTGATTTTATAATGCAAAGCCTTGCTGTAACAGTATCTCACTATCAACAGACTCAGTTTATGCTCCTTAAAATGAACCCGCAGGTTATTCTGTGGTTTCGTTATGTGGAATGCCCATACAGACAGGGATCCCTACTTCTCATTCTCCTCTGTCACTTTTAATTATAAAATTGTGGGAAGGTATCAACACATTGTCCAGATGTTCCAGCCTGCCACTGGATACTAATCTTCATGAGCTGCCAAGGCCTCAGAACCCACAGGCGCTGACATAGCAGATGGAGGACTCCGGCCAAAGAGGTCAGAATGAAAGCCACACTTTTACATAAGCAAGCCCTGCTCTGGGTCAAAACTTAACTGCATCCAGCAAGATGTATGTTATCAAATGTAATCTTCCCTCATACCCCACGGGCGGCAGAAGGGAAGATAACGTTCTTGGCTTAGTGTACTACACCTCTTGGACTTTTCAATGTTATGCATTGAGTTAGTCATGTGGTTATGATAATGCTGTTTCACAACGATCAGTCTGTTACTTCAGACCATGTGTGTCTCATTATCCTTGAGGTAGGATCCAGGGACTGGATATTTACAGGAACTAAATGGTTTCTAGGTTTGAGATTCCCTAGAATTGGTATGGAATTTCTTCACATTGACTGCTGATTTGTGTAACTATGTACGCATTCCTGAACCATATTTTTTCAGTGGTACCACCGTAAAAATTCTGCAGCATGCAAACCATAACATACAAAAAAGGAGTACTTTTCTCCAGAGAAGGGCTCCCAGGAAACAGTGAATAAACGCAAGTTCACTTCTCTTCACACACAACCAAACAGGGCCATTTGTGCCAATGTAACTCACACAGGAAGTGTCAGCTGTGGCGTTTACACTATTTTAGTTTAAATTGGTTCCCCTGACAGTGAAGTGATGTATCTCCCCTTCACAAATCAAATTCAGAAAAGAATGAAAAAAAGGAAAAAATCACCTACAATCCTGCCATCCAGAGGTGGGTCAGCCTCTTAAGATGCCACCAGACCACTTCCCAGTCACTTACTGCCCCCCCCACCCCAGGTGCTTTATTTCAACCTTTACATAGTACCAGGAGGTAACAATTTCTGCTGCTTAAACATGCAAGAAATGATACACTGAACCAAAAATGTCAACCACAAAAATATTTTTTAAATTAGGAAGAAAATGTTATTTCATATATTTCACAGCAACACTTGGACAGGATTGACTAGTCATTCCTAGCTAACTGTTTCAACATGAGGTCTCGGAACCAACGTGACCCTGGCAGAACTACCTCCGTCCTTCCTCAAACGGCCTACCATTAAAAATAGCTATGGACCAAATCACCCCACTCCAAAGACTTCTGTAAACCTGACTTAAGATGTGGCCAGGTATTGGGAAACTTTACTGAAAACTTTAAAGATAAAATCAAGCAAACACCAAGGTTTGATTTTCCTGGAAAGCCAATAATCAGAAGCACCAGGCTTAGGTCAAAGATTTTACATAAAGTACTTCTCTTTTAAAGTAAATGTTTCATCTGAAATATGAAATCAAGTTTTATCTTCTTTTAAAAATGAGTACTCTGAGGGGGGAGGGTTTAGCTTAAGTGGTAGAGCACATGCTCAGCATGCATAAGGTCCTGGGTTCAATCCCCAGTACCTCCCATTAAAAAAACATTTAATAGACCTAATCACCCCCCAAAACAAACAAAACAAAAACTTAAAAATAAATAAATGCTTAAAAAAAAAGTACTCTGAGTACTTCTCTCTTTTTAAAATTTTTTTGGTTTTGTTTTTTTTTGAGGGGGACATAATGAGCTTTATTTTTCATGGAGGGACTGGGGATTGAACCCAGGATCTTGTGCACGCTAAGTACGCCCTCTACCACTGAGCTATACCACCCCCCCACCCCGAGTACTTCTAATATATATGTTTTGGAATAGTTCTCTAATAGTCCACACACATATTCAGAGACTTAACAGTAACACCACTTTAGAGGATGTGATTTAACTTGTCACCTGCCAGCTGGTCTTCCTGACCAGGTACCTCCTCCTCGGCTGTGAGCTAAGGCTCCAAGTGAAGGTGAGCTCCACTCTCAGGAAAGTTAACAGAAAGGATTCTTCTGCAGCCATTCTTTCCCCTCCCCACGCTTAAAAACACGAATGTCACTGTATATGCAATGTGCCTTTCCCCCAAACACCGCTAATTAACTTTCTGTCATGAACAACTGTTTAAATGACTACAAAATGTTTCAATGTCAATTAAACCATACTCCATTGAGTTATTCTCTTCTTAGGTATCAAGCTTCTATTTTCTATTAGAGATACCGGAATAATACATTAACAAACACATGTGTGTAGGACACTATTTTTTTTTTTATGATATTGGCAAAATCAATGATATTTTGCTTTAGTCAAGACCTTTAAAATGCCACGAGGCACTTCAAGTTAACTGTTTCCTGTAGCTTTCCTTTTACAGAGTAACTTTCTTAAGCTAATTTGGTGGTTTCCTATGAGAAGCTGGGTGAATGTGGAAAATATATTTTTCCCATCTTGGAAAAGAAAAAAACCTAACTAGCATGATTAACAAGATCTGTAGCAGCTTAACAGTTTTCACTTACTATTTCTCCTAGTAGGACCACATTTTCTCCTCTGACCACAAAAATCCCTCGAGGAATATCACCGTATTTTTTGCCCACATGAATACGCTCCACAGTCTGATGTAGCACTAAGTTAGCTATAAGTGTACAGGGAAGAAACAAAGATATTTAGTTCAAATTACTCATAAAGGTCCATAACTCAATTAAGCAGTGAGTTCAAGTAGAAAAGGTTTAGCTAAACATGATTTTCAAACCTTCTAATTCTCAGAAAAGCTAAAATTTCTATCTCTTTCCGCTTCATTAAGACACACCACTTAGACTTTCAAACAACTGCAAACTGAGAGAGTATTTGACATTATGTTGCATGAATAGAAGAGGATGGTGGAAATGAGTTAAGAAAACTGAATTTCTTTATGAGGTAACTGCTAGTATCAACAATGGCTGTAAGAAAATAAAAATAATAGGGCACCTGGAACACTAAATCCCAAACAACTGCAGAAAGGAAAACTAGTTTTTTAGAAGGAAACAGTTTCTCTGTGTCGTGTGGGGGTGTGATGTGATGGTTTACCAGAGCTGACTTTGTTTCAGTACTCAGGATTCATTTAATCTAATGGATTATGATACAATAATAACCTATTTCTTCCCTTTGTCAGATAACAATAATCTGGTCATCTGAAAGTAAAGTCAGTATTTACAGCTTTTCCTTCAAAGTTGTCTGATGAACTTGACTTAAGATTTAGAACCTCAACCTGTGAAGAATAATCACTTTTCTTCAGTTGATACTGTTTGTCTTACTTGAAGAAAGGCAGGTATCTGTGCTCTTCTTGTCTGTAATTTTTATAAGTTTTACAATTATGTTGTTTATCCTCATGGCCAAAGCCGCTCATCTAGCAGATGTCCAGCAAATGTTGATATGAAGTGAGAAGTTCCTCAAAACAGATGCAAATATAAGATCTCTTGAGAAAAATGCAGGAGGCAAAACCAAGACCAAGACCTTGAGTCCAATGTATCCGTAAGTGTAAAATCTTGACTTTAATGTTGGGGGTCCCTAAAAAGCTTCAGGAAAGGCCTTCCATCCAATTTTCATTGGACAGGGAGGGATTACCTTCAGTGCAAGAACTGCTTTGAAAAGTAGTCACACCCAAGCCAATGTACAAATAAGCAGCTTTTTCAGTGGATTGAGTTTATTTCTATCATCTGGCTCCCTCTAATGGGGAAAATAAAAAATAGCCCCAAACACTGTAATCGCCATGTTCGAGTGAAAACCAGTTTTTGAAATACAAGCTCATGAACAAAGTTTTGGACCATCTAACTGTAATCTAGAAACTCAGAACAGTATTCCATTATGACAGACACGTGAAAAAAGTTGCAGATAAAAAAATTCAATATGCAATAACACAGAAATACAAGGGCAGCTCTTATTATGCAGAGTATAGGAGAAGCCCATAACTAATACATACCAAATTGATCAATGCTTCTTAAAAAGCCTATAAGTGTCCTTCCATCTCGAAGCAGGACCAAGTGCTTTTCTAGGGAGAGGAAAAGAGATCTTTAAAAAAAATGAAAACTGTTAGCTTCAGTGAGTTTACAGGATAACAACAAAAACAAAGCTACTAACAGATTCAGCTCTACCACTTCCTATTCCGATATATTTAAGGCAGAGCTCACTGGGGAATCAGAAGGATGACCAAGGCAGCCTGGGGTTCAGATGCGAAGACTGGTGGTGAAAAGAATCAGAGGAGCGTGACAGAGAGGAAAGGAACTGGGTGTGTGGTCAGGGGGCCTGACTGACTGGCTCCGGATGCTGATGCTTGCGAGGTACACCCTCTTGGTGTCGTGTCAGTGTCCATACCTGCCAGTTTAGAAATTGAGTCTACATGATCTTTGTGATCTTAATTCAAGAATTATTTTCCCCTCAACTTAGAAGGAAGTTTCTATTTCACATTTTGGAATCAGATGAATTATTTCATTTCATTTTGTTTTAATTAATTATTAATTTATTTAGAGTTATAGTCAGTTTACAGTGTTGTGTCAATTTCCTCAGGTGAATTATTTTAAAATACAAATAGTGCCTCAGACATATAAAAAGAGGATGCTGAAAACGAACTGGAGAAAAAATTCAGTAATATTTATTGAGAGCTATGTGCTGTTCTGGGACCTAGCTCTATAGCAGAACATAAGATTCAGAGTCATCAATCTCATGAACTTATATTCCTGGTGGACGAAGTCAAACAAATAAAAATGGCCTATAGTGACTAGTCTAGCAGAATAATAAACAAGATAGCAGGATAGTGGGAGAAAGAGGGGAAGCAGCTACAGAAGAGAGGGTGGGTGGCTAGGGAAAACCTCTGAGGAGGTGACTCTGAGCTGACAGTGAAGAATGACAGTAAGTTAGAACAGCTGGCAAAATTCATTCGTTCCTTCAGTGCCATACCTAAAGTACTTTCTAGATGCAGAACAGAGGAATAAGAGTGATTTTTTCCTAAAGGAATTTATAGGCTTCCTTGGGGTATAGTTAAGTACCACAGGAAAGCCAATCTTAATTATATGAAACTGAGAGAAGCTGTATCTACGGAGGAGGTATCTGAGTTCGACCCTAAAAGGTAGATAATTTCTGGCCATGGGAAGTGTGACAGGGAAAGGGAAGAGGAAGGAAATCTGTAATTTAGGTAGAAGAAAAAAGAGCTGTGTATCCAAGTGTTTGGCTAAAAGGTGAGCATATGAGGGGGAATAAAAGGAGATGAAGTCTGAAGAGTACTGGGAGCAGGCTGAGTCTGGGTGTGACTTCATAGGAAGCAAGGAAACACTGAAGATTAAACTGGCAGAAAAGAGAGCAGGTTTGAGGCTATTCCCAGAGTCAGAGGCATGAAGAAGAGACCTGAACCAGCGTAGAGATGGGAAGGGAAGGGCAAGGACTCAGACACTGAGGTTGTAAGGGATGGGCATGGACACCCAGTTATGTCTGCATATGTAGGTATATGTGAGAGAGCAGGTGCTGAAGAGAGGAGTTAAAGAAGATGTAGGAATTCTGAGTCATCATGTCAGGGAGTCACCATTTACCAAAAGTTGGGAGTGAAAGAAGCAAGCTCAGGTGGAAGGTTATCAGCTGTTGTGATTCTGAAGTGCCATCAGGCCATCTACATAGAAATGTCAACAGGCAGCTGGAAATGTAAGGCCAAACAGATCAGAATCAGAGTAATTATGGATAAGTCCAGGAGCTCTTCTAGAGATTTAAAGAAAGCATCAGGCCAACGATGGAACCTAAAAGACCATCTGTTTTAGGGAACAACAAGAGTTGCAGAGGTAAGAAAATTGGCAAGTACCAGTGTTAGAGAAATCAAGAAAATAAAAAATCCAGTGGTGACGGTATCACAGTGCTGCGGAGGGGAGGGAAGAACTCGGAGGAGTGCATGAGACTGATGTCTTTTTAAGAATGCATCTCAGTAGTGTATTGAGAACAAAAATCAGACTGCAGGGCTAACAGAGGTGGTATATTGTAGGTGGTCAAGAAGTAGAGTTAAAATGGGAGATGACTCAAAGAGTTTTGTAGGTAAAGATATGAAAAAAGGATGGGAATTAGACAGGGAAACACAACTGAGAAAAAATTTGAGATGACCAGAGAAGAACATACATGAAGGGGAGGGTGCAGGGGGAGACAGATAAGATATGAGAAGAAAAGGGTATTAATTTGGATTTTAAAAAATGATTTCAGACAATAGGAAGATAACTTGATCATAAACTCACTCTTCAATTTGCACACACTAACTATAGAAATTGTTGTAACTTGTTTGGAACTGTCTGTAAACTATTCTGCAGCAATTACAAGTTAATGAGACAGATCACATGATTAAAACAATTAAAAAAACGTTGCTTGAGGAATAATTCACAGATGACAGTTTAGAAAAAGGAAAGACAGGACAATTTATACAGGATTGAGCTCTGCCTCAAGACAGTGACAAGGAATAAGAGGTCTTCTTAATAAAAGCAAAAGAATACTGTCTAGGAAGGGGAAAAAAAAGTTTGAAGTGACTTAGCCTTTCTGGAAATGTCAATACCTTTTCTGGCAGCGGTCTCTACTACCATAACCTGAACGTCTGAAGGCTCAACGGCAAAAGAAGATTGCAAACGGACACACAACATAAAGCTTATGTTTAGTATCAATTAAGTCCAATTGCTGTTGTATTAATATTTTCATTTATTGATGAGTCCTTTCTCAAAGGAGTCTCATCCACCCCCCAGGAACCATTTGGTACTTTGAAATATCACAGGTGTGAGATGATGGACTGGGCTGGGGCTTGGGGGAGGAGGCAATTTTCACCTTTCGGCCTCAGCAGCCGAATCCCTGCAAAGCAGGAATGAATTCTACAACTTGAGCGGGGACTGGTGGAGGCTGCGAGAGACAGGATACAGGCAGTAGGCTAGGAGGTGGGCAAACGGTGTGTCCCGTGGCTCCTCCATCCAGTGAAGAATGTCAACGCCGAATGCCCAGAACTCTGCCAAAAACACACCGCCCTCCCGCCCCAGACTCATTTTCTGAGCTCCCTTCCAAGAGGCACCCTCCTGGAAGGAAGGGTCTCACCGCAGACTTCACCTAGAGGAGATGAACTACTCACTGTCAATGTCCTCGATGAGGCTGGCGGTGCCGGGCATATAGTTCATTTTGAACTGAGATAAGGCTGCAGTGTATAGCGACGGTGGGCCAGTGTGTCCAATAACTCTTTCTTCCTACAGCAGTCGCCGCCTCGGCGGGACCGGGACAGGAACCCGGACCGGGACCAGCACGTCCGCCCCGGCTTTCAGTCGCCGGGGCCTGCCGGAAACGCCGCCATATTGCCCCCACCCACTTCCGGCATCACGTGCCCGTCTCCAGGAAGAGGCGGGACGTAGTGCGGTCCCGGGACTACATATCCGCATCCCTCATAAGAGGGAAAAGGAATTTAGTTTGGATAGATGGTGGTGAAATGTGCTCTCCTTTTTAAGGTACACGGTGCCACCCCTCGTTTTCCTGCTTCCTAAGCCTCAGAGTCACAGCGATCCGTCCTTAGACTCTCAAGACTCGGAAGCTGAGGGGGCGGGACCCGGCCTGAGATTGGCTGTTGTCGGCCGACCCCCCTCACTGCGGTCCATTCGGGCTAGCCGGTAGGCGCCTGCGCAATGGGCCGGCCGTTGGGGGCGGGAAGCGCCTCGGGGCAGTGGAGCCCATGTCGGCCTTGAGGCGCTCGGGCTACGGCCCCAGTGACGGTCCGTCTTATGGCCGCTACTACGGGCCTGGGGGAGATGTGCCCGTGCACCCACCTCCGCCCATATATCCCCCCCGCCCCGAACCTCCCCAGCCTCCCATTTCCTGGCGGGTGCGCGGGGGCGGCCCGACTGAGACCACCTGGCCGGGAGAAGGCGGAGGAGGCGATGGCTACTACTCCTCTGGAGGCGCCTGGTCCGAGCCGGGTCGAGCTGGAGGAAGCCACCAGGTAAGCTTTGCGCTATCTGTCCCAGGGAATCCGATAGGGGAGTCTTTGGGGGTGAGGGCCGTTGGGATTGATACACCTCCAAGAGTTCGTAATGAATCGGGCTTCCTGTGTTTTCCTTACGCGGGGTTTGGAGGGACCGAGACTAGGATCGTGGGGTGGTGGGATTTCCTTGAGTTCTCCTTGCCCCTCCTTTTCTGGTTCAACCATAATAAATGTCTTGCCATTAAAAAAGAGGAAAAGATCTTGCGCTGCCCTGCTAAGCTAAGTAGCAGACTGCGGAATCTCTCGCCTGGGAACGACGTTGGGCTGGAGGGAGCCGGCTCTGCTTTTCGAGCCCTAACAATTTATCCTGCGTGGCTCGTCGGGCCGGCTCTCCACGAGAAGCCGGGTGGTTGCAGCCCCCTCCGTCACTCAGCAACCCCTCCCGCTGGGAAGGAACCTGAAGAAAGGGGAGGGATCTGGGCATTTAGCCCTTTGCCCCTAGTGCTTTGCTTGGTATTGAATCATGCGTAATCAGTGTTGTAAAGCACCTTTACGTGGATTGTTTTATTTGATCTTAACGGTGACTGAAACGTAAATGTCATCAAAGCGTCCCTATTTTACGATAAAAGAATCGTTGGCTGTGAGAGATTAACTCAGTTAATCTTTTCGGGCCTCTAACATTTTATCCCCTGTATTCCTGCTGGAGATATACTTCTGTTTCGTTAATGCCGTATTTTTCGTAGATAATTTTCGTTATAATTATATCCTCATTGATTGAAAATGTAATAGTGAAATTCCCACACATTGCTGGTGGGAATGTAAAATGGTTCAGTGCTTTGGAAAACAGTTTGGCAGTTCATCAGAAGGACGAGCATACTGTTAGGATATTACTCAGCAGGTCTGCTCCTAGAGATATTCACAGGAGACCTGAAAACCTGTTCACATAAAACTTGTATACAAGTTTATAGCAGCGTTTTTCATAATAGCCATAAAGGGAAATAACCCAAATGTCCATAAACTGATGAATAGATAAAATATACTGTCTTCATAGAATGAAATTATTTAGTCATAGAAAGGAATGAAATACTGATTCATTCAACAACATGGATGTGCCTTGAAAATATGCTACATTAATGCAGCCAGTCACAAAGACCACACATTATATGAAATGTCCAGAATAGGCAAATCTGTAGAGAGAAAGATTTGTCATTGCTGGGGCCTGGGTACATTGGGGAAGATAGACAAAGGGTATGGGGTTTCTTTTTGGGATGAAGAGAATTTCCTGGAATTAGATAGTGATGATAATTACACAACTCTAAATAGACTAAAAATCATTGAAATGTGCACTTTATTAGTTTTTATTTTTTAAAGCATTTTTTGGGTTTTTTGGAGGGGGTAATTAGATTTATTTATTTGTTGTTATTTTTTAACGGAGGTACTGGGGATTGAACCCAGGACCTCGTGCATGCTAAGCTCATGCTCTACTGCCGAGCTCTACCCTCCAAATTGTGCACTTCAAAAGAGTAGGTTTTATGGTATATCTTTTAAAAATTCTATGAGAAAAAAAATATAGTATGAGAGGTTAATTGCTAAGAAGGGCCCATGATTTCTCTGTCTAAATCTGGAATAAGTAGCCTGTGGGACTTCAACCCCGTGACACTTCCCAGAGTGATGAAATGCTTGGCCTATAAGTAGGCAAACTACATCAAAGCTCAATTGAAGGGAAAGATGACGCCACTTTAGCTTACTGTGTTATCAAAACAGAAGTGTGTTTTCGGGTTAAGGTTAGCGAAGTGAAGATCTTATTATTGTGTAGGGAGTTGTCAGGTGTAGTGGAGAACAGGTGTGCACGCACGGTGGGTCATGGTGCCGGAGCTGTTGAGGATAAAGCTGAAATGTGCAATGGGCACTGTAAACCATTTCAAGGGTTTATCTTCCATGTTGACGTTTCTGAAACTTGGAAAGTATGGGATGATAATTTCTTTTTTTGTTTTGGGTGGAGATAATTAGGTTTATTTATTTATTTTGGTAGAGGTAGTGGGGATTGAACCCAGGACCTTGTGCATGCTAGGCATGTGCTCCATCGCTGAGCTGTACCCTCCCCCCGGGATGATAATTTCTTAAGAAGGAAACTAATACAAAAAATATACATACGTGTTGTCATCCATGTTGCAAGTTTTTTTCCTAAATCATTGTTAACTGTATTCTGGTTTTTGACGTATAACTTTTACATTTTTAAATAATCAAACATGTCAAACTTAAAAAAAAAAAGTTAGGCATCCGTTAAACCTTACTCTTTAAGTTTGTGGTCCATGGACCAGAAGAAGCTTCAGTGGAGGTTGCAAGAAATGCAGAATCGCTCCTGCTTCAGACTTACTGCTGCTGCAGTTTAATAAGATCCTCGTGTGATTCATGAGCACTTTCGTGTTTGAGAAGCATTGCACTGTAGAACTGAATATATTGAGATAATGGTGCCCTGACCCACTACAAAGACTTGACTTTGTGTTAACAGATTTAAATGTGGCAGGGGGAAAAATGGAAAACCTCCCCCTATTTTCTTTCTTTCCTAACCCTGTTAGTTGTCCTTGCAGCCCTGAAGTTTGATTCCTGAACTAGCAGCATATGCATCACCTAGGAGCTTGTTGGAAATGCTGCATTTTGGGCCCCGCCCCAGACCTGCCGAATCAGAATGTGCCTTTTAAGGAGATCCCTAGGTGATTTACATGTTCCCCGAGAAACAAGTCATCCAAGAGAGTACTGAGATGGAAGCTAAAAGCCGCAGTCTCATAACCTAATCTTGGAAGTGACGTACCGTCACTTCTGCCATATACTGTTGGTCAGAGAGACCAACCCTGGTACAGTGCTGAAGGCAGCTTCACGATGGTGTGAATACAGTAGGTAGGGGTCAGTGGGAGCCATCGTGGAGGATGGTTACAACGGGAGGATTTGGGAAGACAGCTCAGTTAGGCTTCTGGATTTGTTCAGAAGGGAAGTAAAAAGGGCATGCGTTTGAAGAATGCCTGAATGAAGACAGGTTTTTTTTTTCCCAACACTTTATTATAAAAACTGTCAAGCATACAGAAAAGTTGAAATCATACGAAAAGTGAATACCCATATATTCACCACCTAGATTCTGTGATTAGTGTTTATTATATTTGGTGTATCACATCTCTCTATCTTATTTTTTGGTTGCGTTTCAAAACAAGATACATAGATTTGAAAGACATTTTCAAGGGTAATTGGAAGTGAGAGCTGCAGCAGAAACAGAAGGTAATTCTGAATTGTTAGTATTTCATAGGAATGACAAGGAAGAGGAACAGGTTTTTATGGGAAGATACGGTTTAATTTTGTGCCAAAAGAACTAGCGATTGGTTAATAGAGGAGCTTTAAAAATACAAAATATAAAAACTTGGTAAGGGTTTATGTACTGCCTTTATTTCATTTCTTCTGGGAGCCAGCTCATCACGGTGGTTACCGTGCGCCAAGCTCTGGATGCAATGTATGTGATTGATTAGAGAGAAGTCTGTGATTTTCTGGGTGTTTTTTTTTTTTTTTTGATGTCCAGTTTTAGAGTCTGTGGCATCCAGGAGTTGCTGTCTGTGGGACCAAAACAGTAGATGTGGGGCTCAGGAGGGAGATAGGGGTTGGGGACAGTGATTTGAGAGTCACCAAATAGAAGCATAGTGAATTACCAAACTGGGTCATGCTGCCTGGGGAGAGCTTTGAGGTCTAGGATGGATGACAGAGAGAACCCAGCAGGAGACCATGAGCAAGAATAACAGAAGGATGTTAGGAAGTCAGGAAGTCATGCAATCAAGACGAAGTGAGGACACGGTTATTTTGTAGGTAAGTGGTAGGAGAACTGAAGAGAAGCAGCTGGATTGGCAATTAAGGAGGTATTGTTGATTTTAGTGGTGGGAGTTTAAAATAATATTAAAGTAATGAATGGGAGGTTTGGGTGAGAAGACAACTAGTGGAAACTGTTAGTAAATGAGAAAGTGGTCACTGGAAACCAGGATCTGAGGGAAGAATTTTTAGGATTAGGTGGCTTGAGGATGTTTGTCAGCAGCGGAGGGTAACCTAGTGGATTGAGAGAAAAGATGCGAACAAAAGGATGGAATGTGATTTGGGGAGAGGCGGATTAGGAAGTGAGGAAAAACTGAGAAACCTCTTCAGAGCTAGAGGGGGGAAAAGGAGGCTTGGAGTTAGTTGGACGAGAGGAACGTTGAAGGAGTTCATAGCTCTTGGTGTCCTTTCTTGAGGTAGGGAGGTCATCTGAGAGTGAAGTGGTTGGGATATGCTGGGAACTTGCTATGGTAAATGAAACAGGTGCTGGGAAAAGGGAGGCAGTGTGGGGGAGCATGGAAGAGACCCCGATGAGACTGAAAATGAGAAATGTGTGATGGTGGAGCATAAGGTGCTTTTTGGTGGTTTTGGAATATATAGCTATAAAAATAATTTATAATGCATTCCCTCCCCAACCCTTTTTGTCTAATTCTCGTGCAAAATAAAACAAATTTGTAAATAGATCCTAGGTAGTACCAGCACTACTCAGATTCCTCAACTGTTAGATTTATTTGGGCTGGAGGTATTTTGGGAGGCATGGCAGCAAGTTACTTTGTAAAGTTAACCATATATCCACTTCTTCCGGAACTAGTTAGTTCTGAGATAAATATGAAAGGAGTTGACTCCAGCCTTCATCTGAAATTTAGGTATTTCTTCTCAAAATAGAAGACAGTAAATAATTTTGCATAATTTTAATGGAATCTCCTTTGCCACAAGCACTTTAATTCACATTACTAACACTTGTAAAGACCTTTTATCATCTTTGTCTAGTTTACATCATCTTTTATCATCTTTGTCTAGTTTCAGACAGCAAATAAAAGTTTTGGAAAGACTTAGGCACATGATAAAATTGGCAACTTGGTCTGTAGAACGGCTGTCAGCTTCAGCCGGTTTCCTGTGAAACCAAATGCTGTTTCACAGAATTCGTGTCATGTCAGGAGGTCCTTGAGCTG